ACAGTTAGCAACTTTCTGAGTATTTAATATAAGTCCCTTAACTTCGCGTTCTTAATTAACAATTCTCTGAAATGTTGATCGACGAAAAACTTTCGAACAGAAAGCAATATCTTAAGAGCCTACACTTTGTATACAATACTATGAAATGGGTAAACACAGCAGAAAAAATATTCCGTTTGTCAATGTGTTTATTGTCTTACATCAAAGCAGCCTACTCAGTAGCAGAACAGAAATATAAATTTTTCGAGGAAACAGAACACGATGATGACTCCCCATACTACTGTGTAGTTAAATGTTTAGCAATACACTTTGAAAAGCACAGTGACTTAACACTCCACGTCACAAGAAGAAAATCGTTATAAGGTATTTTCTGCCTGTGAGCTATTACAGTTCGATGTGGGTTTCCATTCTTGGTCTGACATAAATATGAACTAATACAAAATATTTTTAATTAGAATGGAATACTCCGGTAAAATTACGCTCAAAGTAGCTTATAAAATATTATTTGAGCAGCAAAATCGATGGTAAAATATGGTTGGGAGTCTTGAAAAATACATAAACTGACAGCAACAGTAGAAATAAGGACCTTTTTTGTGATACGCCCGAACATACGTGGTTTAACAAAAAATAATAATGATGAAACATATGAAGAAGTTAATATCGACAATATTGTTTAAAGCGTTACTACGTAGGTACAGTAACGTAAAGAAAATTATGTATTTGAAATGGGCGAAGACAGGCGGCCAACAATAGCATAATTATAAACCTACAGGACGAAAAGTGAGCTGAATTCGAAGGAGAAGTTGGGAGCAAACTTTGAGGCCAGCATAGGATCTACGTTGCTCAACTCATAAGGGTGAAGAAGAATTAACAAAAGACGAATAAGTGTTTCCGATATGGGATCAGACCTAACCAAATGCTATAGCATTCGATTGGGCGCCCAGAAGATTAGCACTGAAATTCTGCCACAGTATTTTTAGTCAAATACAAGAAATAGTAACATGCATCTTAACTAAATGTTATAGCAGAACCAAATATTTCAGGACCATTATTATTAAAGCCCAATCTGGATATTATTGCGAACTCTCTAAGTAACATCTATCTTAATGGCAGGCTACCTGTTATTTCTTACGAGTCTTTCAGGTGAATGTTTCCTAAGAGGTGTCCTCGCCAACATTCTACTTATATCCACTTATAGTCTCCCCCACCCTAGCTACATGCCGAACCCATCGTGACCTCTCCTTAACTTCACCATTCTACTACCACAGTGCGACTTTTGGCTCATAAATCTCGAAGTTCCGCGAATTTTTCATTTTGCAACAGCCTTAATGCGCCAGATTTTCTAAACACAATAACAAAAATTCACCTACGCATCCCACTTTATAGGTACTGTGTTATATATTCCTATACAATTTTTTTAAATGGATCCTGAGAGGACTCGATCATTCATGATGATCTAACTTCTTTCAGTTACTTGTGATCAATGAAGACGAATGACAGCAGCGGTGAGTGCAGTGATGAATGGGGCGTTGAAACCAGATAAAGACGGTGATGCATGGCCCTCTCATATAGAAAAGATGGCGACATCATGAGGCTATCCCAAAAGCGAGACCACTCAGGCAGCAACTGACAAAATACTTCATCCCCAGTTCGAAGTATCGACATAAAAATTCTGCCACATCGATCAGTATGCTTAAAAGTATAGAGTGATATAGGAAGACGCACAAAGTGTTATTAGGGCTTATTTGTTGTGTGGTTCTTCACTTTTCATCCAAATGTTAATTTTGAATTCCTGCGTACTGCCAAATGCATTTGAATGAACGGAGCTAACTCCACAACGTATAAAGCTGCGTGAACAGGCAGCCCAAGTCCTGTTACACAGGCAAAGGTTGGTTGGACAATCGGCCGGAACTGACTTGAGGATTGTCATTCATGCAGGTGGTGGTTTCAACAGTGAGCATCTTCTCTAAGTATTAATCTTACACATTCCCGTCTACTAACTAAAAATTTATATTTTATTTCAGTTTTATTCAACTCTTTAAAGCCTTGAGATAACTTTAGGCACCACTTGCATTTTCAGTGAATTAATCTGCATTTTGCATTTATGGACTTCACTGTAAACTGCCTGTTGCTTGCTCATTCTTTGTAGTGGAGGAATACTGTGTGTGACGGAAAGGTGCCGAGAACATTTGTAAATGAGGGATGGATCCGAATAATTTTTATTAAACTTGGCGTCTGTTACATGCAGCAGAGCAATCCGATTACAACTACAACTAATTTGTTTCTTAATGTTCAGCATCTGAGGTATCACTGGTATGCGTAATGTTTAGGAAATTGGATCGTCCTCTCAAGACTAATAATTCTATATAGATATTCAGTAAGTAATTATTTCTAAAACTGGCAGGACAAAATACCTGATTACTGACTCACGATATTGCATGACGTGTTAATTTCGTAAAATAAAATAATTGAATTTTCTCAGCTAAAAACGACAGACTTTGATTCTGTCCTGCATGCGGCTACCAACACATTCTGTACTACAATCTGAAAACGGAAGGGATTTTGTAAATCCTGTGGTGCATGTCTGAACTTAAACTGTTCACGGTAATTTCCGCCAATGTCAAAGTCAGGGAAATGTGGAAAGGGATTACCAAGATACAGGAAATATGTTTACGACATGTATGCAAGATAACGAAATTACCGAATGGCGTGATGAGCCAGGATTTGTTCAACTAATGAAGAATGGATCTTATCTCGCATGGATTAAAGCGCTCTTATACAGCTGCATCGTTAATGTTGGTTGAAGACATTATATGCACCAGAAAATTCAGATGACAATAACAACGAAATTAATACGATTATTCATTCAATTTTATTTGCATGTTAATATTTCCAAACTAATTGAACTCAGAATATTACCAGTACAAGAATTTCACATAAAATTCAGTGCACTGACGGCGTAGAGGAAAGCAGAAGAGGCCTTAAATGTATTTCTGTTTTTAAACAAAAGTCATTAAACTTTTCTTGTAGAACCAATGTCATCTCCCGGAAGCCCATGGTTTCGCGAACACAGTGTGGGAAACACTACGTAAAGAATACGCGGATATTTGAGAGAATTCGCCTGTATCACATACATAAGAGAAGGAGACGTTAGGACAATATATTAATCGAATAATTATTCTTTTACTACTTATTGGTAATTAATTGCATATATTTTCCGATTGATAGCATCAATTAAAACATTTATAATTTTGGGCGCATGACGACCTGGCAACAAACATATAAATAATCTAAACATTTCCATAGGCCCTAATAGTTTCAATTGCATATTAAATATAAACAAATTATTTACGTCATATCAAGATGTAACTGAAATTCTGTTACGAAACTATTCCACAGAATTATTTAATTGAGATGAGATAGTGACGCTGGAGTAATTAACCGAAACATGTCTGTTGAATTAGCGCCGGGAGTCCTCCGTCGCCATGAATCAGGATCATCTGCACGGTTTCCTATCAGCACGACGCCATATTCGAATCCTGCGGTGTCCGATGTATGTCAGTATCAGCACTGGACGGATCCAGGTCAACATATTTTACTGCGTGTATCATGAATTCAGCATCGATACGACACTTCAAGTAACTCAATGGAGCAATATCGATCTTGAGAAGATGGAAGTCACTAACCTCAACAATAAAACCGACCTTTATGGAAAGGTGAACTTCATTATCGTGTTCATAAGATCCCGCCACTGGTCTCTACCCTGAGTCAGATGAATCCAAACCACATAAATTACACTGTTTCGTTAACGTCCATTTTAATATTATCACACCATTTATGCTTAGCTCACCGAAGTCCTTCAAGTTTTCGACTGTATGCATTTCTCATTCTGTGTGTGCTGTATGCCACATCCATCTATTTCTACTTCAGATGTCATTTCGGGTATCCCCTAATTTGTCGGTCAATGTCTGAAGTCGTGAAGTGGATTGGAGGTGACGCCAATAGTATAAAATTCCAGTGCGCATGCGCTAAGCTAAGCTAGACTAAGCTAAGCTAGACTAAGCTAAGCTAGACTAAGCTAAGCTAGACTAAGCTAAGGTAGACTAAGCTAACCTAACCTTACCTTACTTTACCTAACCTAACTTAACCGAATCCACTCTAACATAACTCCATAACGTATGACGACAGAAAGCACGAGTATCACAACTACAGAACTCCTGAAAGGAATTTACTAAACTCTAAACTCGTAGTATGTAATTCCTTACACTCCATAACAACATCCTCACGGATGTTTAAACATGGGAGGTGGGGTAATGATGTGGTCGTATTTATGTTCATCTGAGCATAAGCATCATCAACATAACACTACGTAACATTTAAGAACCTAAGCTGTTTACAAGTGACAGTCAACTGTGTGTAAACATTTTCAGATGCTTCGTATAGTCTTTCTGCCTTAGCTAAATATTCCATGCTCACACATATAGTCATTCGATTGGTTGGTCTGGTTTACTGAATGCTTCAGTCCCTGGGATAGGTTGTTATGCGTTCTTTGCACGTAGTGTATAGCGAGAACGCATTTTGGACTGGCCATTGAACGTAGTAACTAGAACGCTACAATGATTTTCGTGAGCTTAACTTATCGTACGCACCATGAGTCTCTCTCCTTCTTAAACAATCGCGTTATCATCACATACGCTTTCTTTGCCGCAATTTAACCAAAAGTAACGTGGATGCACTTAAAATATGATACGTTCCTCGTCAAAGGAATGTAACTGAACAGATTTGATCTTCACGTGTATTTAACTGTAAGCACAAGACAAATGCGTCATACATTTTTCCATACTGCGTGACTTTTGCCTATACGAGTCTTAATACGGGCGTAGGCCGGGCGCTTTGTTTAGTTGTAAGCAGTTCTGTACCCATCCTTACATCGTTTACTTCAATTTCTTAGAAACAATATAATAAGTCCGCTGCTTCTTCAAGACAGAAATCTTTGTTACCTTAACGTAAATTTCCAGTACAGGAATCGGAGATATGTATATTGAAGATGGAGGAGACAGCATCCAGATGACAGCTCATCTTTCTCCACGTCTCAAGCGCACAGAATTATTACTCCTCCCTGTAGCCATCGATATGCAGGTCTGCAAAACAAAATAAGGATGATTAATTCTCGTCGGTATAACATCATCACCATTATTATAATATTATGTTAGCCTTAAATTTAATTCATTAACAATACACGCATATATTTATAAAATAAACAGGTGTTTGTCGATAGCTTGGCTGGTTATCATTTGCTGTCAAGTTATTTTGGCTTTATGGAATGGTAGCTACTAATGCGTGTGTCGTAACAACCGTTGCCGTGGTAATGCGTTTTTAAGGATTTTGGGCCTCATGCGATAACTTTTATGATTTTGTGTGTTTAATTCTTCAGATTTTCCAGTCATTATTTGCGGGAATTTTACTGGTAATTACAAAAAAAATTATAATTACCGCGATATCAAATGAGATTTTCATGCCCTATTTAATTCCATTAAAATAGATAATCGTCGTCACCGTGTTCCGAATAGCACGCCAATGAATCCTATAACGTACCAGTTTACTCACCAGATTCTTACCCACTTCTTAATAATATACGTATCCGACATCTGTGTGTTTTTCTCACCTCATGCATGCGTGCTACATGTTCCGCTTATCTAACCCTCTTCGATTCATTAATTAAGGCTGAATATAAAAGTGACAGGAAAAGTTAGTACAGAGTAAAAATGTTGGCGCGGTCGAGGGGATTTGACCTCTGCAATGATTACGTCGCTTTTAGAATTCAAAGCGTGGGTCAGTGAATCTCGCACCCAGCACTTCGTCCCACAAAAGCGAATCTGGGTCTCCATGTAAATTTCCGTTTACTTTTTCCCGGTTTTAACTATATTTGAAATGAGTTGACAAATTTTAGTGAAAACTTCGAATATAAAATTTATAAAAATCCATTCCGCAGTTTTCGAGTTGACGGACGGACAGATACAGTAATATACGTACATAGCGAAGTGAACAGGCGCATTTTTGATAACGTACACTTCCGAAACTGCCTAAAAATCGTCCTCCAAGACATCAAGTAAGTGCCATGGAGCTAATATGAGGGTCAGTACCGATTTACGGCAACGGTATGCAATTAAGATAATTGTCTTCTGAGGAAGAAGTAAGTGGATCCTAATGTTTGTACCAGCATAACCTAAAAGAAAGATAAATCTTTCACCTGACAATAAATAAGGATGCCCGCAGCTGGACTATCGTAACTGCGTAGGAGGAGACAGATCAATTTTACGGAAATTGCTGTGTTGAGGAGCCCATAATAGGGCGTAGCGAGGGTTATTTTAAACGGTCGTGATCTTCACCGAACAACGGTAGATATGGCATTAACTGTGGTACGTAATGTCCCCTTGAGAACAGACAAAGGTTAAAAATGTCATTCCAGATATTCAAGAAGTACTTCTGAAAATGGTTGAAATTCCAATATCTGTGAGAGATGAATCCGTACCTACAGAGGAAAGTGGATAAAAACAGTGAAGAGAAAATTTAATAAATAGTCAGTATAAAGTGAATTCTTTCTTAGAAGCTTAGTATTCTGCAAATAGTAATTAATATACATCTTCGAAATTAAGAGAATTAAATGAGAGAAATAGATTGTTGAACAAACATCATTTATCTTACGAAGTTTTATCGATATAAAAGACCTGATGTTGTAAGGAACGTTTATAAATTAAGTAGTTAAAATAAACCTACAAGTACATTGGTCAGTAATTTAAAACGTATTTGATGGACATACATGCTGATTTTTTAAACGACAGTACAATTAATAGAATGTTGCTATGCAATAGTTATTAACATTTACAATACTGGGATCTCATTTAAGGAATCGCTTTGAAGGTTACGAGAGTGTGGACTGGATTAATCTGACTGTGGACAGAAACAAGATGCAGGCTTCTATAAGCATGACACTGAACTGTGAAATCCATGAAAGAAAATAATTTCTTGGGTTTTAATGTTTCATGGACTCGAACAGGTTATGTCGTCTTGCCTGTACACTTCCACGCCTGAATGTAAACGATACAGAACTGATAAATTAATACATTAGCAGTCATCTTTTAAGGTTTTGGAACTGGATATTTAGAAGAACGTGATGTTTACAAGCAAGTTAATGAATTTGCGCTATTGCAAGGCTGGTACTTTTCAGAAAGAAAATACGCTCACTTACACAGAAACAAATCTAGTTACTACGGGATGAAATTCAGAGGTTCGGATCTTTAAAACCACCATTTGCAGATCGCTCGCTAATGGGGCCACAATGTCTGTGCAGTGGAGGGCCGGAGTCCATTTTCTCTGACA